GGCCCATGGAAAGGGCCCGGGCGGTTGCCAGACACACGAATTCTAGTCGGGACCCGGCTCTAGGGAGCGAGAGAATACTAAAAAAAGAGAGGGAGCAGAGAACGAGACAGAGACTGCGGATTTGTGGAGGGAGCAGAGAAGCGGGGAAAAGCCTTGGCCGGGAAAGACCCGCTTTCCCTGCCCTTGGCCCTTAGTCATCGTCTGTCTGCCTGTCTGCTCGGTTTTTGTGGACTAGAAATTGTGAATTTTCATTTTGAAAGGCCTCGTAAGGCAGAGCGGCTCTCGATATTGTATAAAATTCCGACTCGCGAAAAAATTAACTAGTTTACTGGATATACACAATATTTCTGCACGTTTTATGCGCCTAACGCAATTAGATTTACATTTTAAACGAACTAGAAAAGCAGCGGATCTCAGGAATTTTTATGAAATTGCAAATCCTGACAAAAACCTTAATGGAATTTCCAGGAATTACAGGATATTTCCGCTTGTTTTAGGCGCCTAGGAAAGAATACTGCATTTTAGAGAGACTGGCAAGGTAAAGCGGACATAGGTTTTTAAGGAACTGCACAAAATTAACAGAAAAGGTCTGGCAAGGCAAAATAGCTATAGATTTTTCGCACATAATCGATACATTTTTACAAGGATTGAAATATTTTTTTTTCATGGAGGAGGCAACCTGGGATTATGGTATCTTGAAATGTCGTAATGAAATGGATTAGCCGAATCCGCGCCTTCCAAACGACGATCGAATCGATAAAAGAGAGGAACAGCCGTGGGGGCCCTTCTTGTGTCCGGTTCCCACCAGCCACCTCTTGCCTGTTCTCCGCCCAGCGGCGGATTCTTTTTCACGTTTCGCTAAGGGGTCGTTAGACAGGAGGAAGGATGGACAGGCAGACAGGACGGAAAGTAAGACAGACAGAACAAAGCTAAGCTAGTTGCCAAGATTATTTAGACTCTAGTTTCAACTGCTATCTAGGTTCTTAAAGTTTAGAAAACGATCGCGAAAGAGAGGGAAAGGAGAGTGAGTAGCGAGAGAGAGATAGAGATTTATAGATTTTGTTGAGAGAATCGTACTAATTTATAGAAACCGCCTGTTCCTAAGATTCATGACTGTACATTTTTAAACACTCGAATCAATCAAAGTTTGTTTTTGAACGGGATTGGGAAGGTAGAACAACCGGGCTTTTTTCCGAAAGAAAAAAGTATATCAAAAACCAAACCTCCATTTTCCACACAATTAAAATTCTAAGGAAATTACAGGGGGACTCGTTGTGAATTCAGAATTGTGGCTGGATAAGGGCATCCGGTTGCCAGGTACCCGCCCCGGCAAAAGCACGTAAAGGGCATCGGAATAGGAGGCCGGTGGATTTTTGTTTTGCCCAAAAAATAGCAGCAAGGATCCATATAATTGTCCATAAAATCCATGCAAAACCATAAATCCATGAATCATAAAAATCAACCGGAAAATACGATCACGGACTTCCAAACGCGCTAATTAAAAATCATGCATTTGCTAACTGTTTATTTAAGCTTCCCAAGATTAAAATTAAAGCTATCAATATTAAATAACTATTCAAAAATAAAAAAGTAGTATTAATTAAGCAATATCAAATCGTTTTTTGAAGATATCAAGTTTTTTTGGAGCCCATAGACTCCCATATTTATTTATTCGGGATTTTAGGCAAGCGTAACCCTTTGTAATTTTTAATTTAGCTTTCTAACTCTGTAAAAATCATGGCAAGAAAAAGGTCGAAAGGCCCGAACAATTCGGTTTTTTTTAAAAGTTAAGTTTGAGTCACAAAATCCTGCTGAAAAAAACGAAAAAATGAAAAAATCAGACTCCATCCTAGGCCTCCAGAAAAACCCAAACAAACGTCTCAGCCTTACGCAAAACTTTGATAATAACATGACGTAATCGGTTGTGGTGGGGGCCCAATCATGATGGGGAGGAGAAGCGCATGAAATCCCAGACAACTAGCTGCACTCCCCCCATCTGGGCGTGCTGTTGTTTTGGGAGTTCTCCGAGGGCAAGTTGTGTATGTTTTTGTGGCTATAAAAGGGAGATGGCGCCAAAGGACCCATCCCAAAAGACTGGGGCCACAAGTTACAAAGGGCATTCTCTCCCCTCTCCGCTCTCTCTCTCGCTTTCTAGATAAAAAAAGCGGCTCAAAAGGATCACCATTCTGACGGGTTGACGAGGGCGAGGAGGGTGAGCTGAATACTAAAAAGAGCACTGGGGTGGAATGTGGGGGTGGACGTCTGAAAGGGACTAAAGTTGTTGGTTTTTAAAACATGATGCCAAGAAGGAAATCTCCGAGAAAAAGGAAAATGTGTGGAAAAAGATGATCAAAAGGTCAACGAGAGCAAACGGGCGAGGGAACATTATGATGAGAGTCGGTGATTATGCGAGGAATATCGAGCAAAAATCAGAGAGTGACATAGAGAGAGAGAGAGAAGGATATAGAGAGGGATAGAGAGAGAAAGAGTGACAGAGAGAGCGAGAGAGAGAAAACGCAAGAGTGAATTTTCAACCCCCCCCCCCCTTTCCCCCCTTTCCCCCCTTTGTTCCTTTTTCCTTTCGAAGGTATTTTTTTACGAAAAAAGAGCTTTTAAGACTATTTCGATAGCCGATTGTTAGGAAATGCGTATAGAAATTGGAACCTTTAATTTTTATGAAACCCGTTTCAATCCAGTATACTAAAAACCACCTAAAAGTCAAAATATATAACGCGCTGAAAAACCCATAAAAAACCCACAACATTCAGAATTATTCTAGCCGCCGTAAACCCCCCTGCCGCTCCAATAAAAAGCCCATTTTCCGCAAGACTGCTCGCTAGAATTCGTGGGGCCGTTGTTTTGACGACGAGCCGATGGAAGGGGCGTAAAAAAATGCGGTGAAAAACAGAATTTAGGCCCGGGGAAAATGCGGAAAAAATTGTCTTTGCCTTCTGGGTTGACCCGGAGTGGGGATGGAGACGTCAGTTTTCGAATTGCTGATAGCGGGTACAGGGCAGTTTTTCGAGTCTAGGCTTTGATAGGGGAATGGGTTCACCTGAAAGAAACGGGGATTTTTGGGGGAATTGGTTACGTCATATAATTCTATCAAAAAATTTTTGTAATGGGGGGAAGGCCGCCGAATTAAATTATGACCAGCGCCCAAAACCCGCTTCGCGGGCCTTGGGCGCTGGATGCGGCCTTTGCATAAGAAATTGACTTCCGATAGCCGGGTCCCGGACCCCTCCCCGCCGACCACCGCGCGCGTGCAACTGCAAGAATGAAGATTTCTATTTTTCACATTATGCAAATCCCCCAAAAATGAGTAAACCGGCTTTACTTTGTAAACTTGTATTTGATCAAAATTCTGAAAGCGCCATTGGAAACAGAAGGGTCGATTTCCCCAAGTGACGGAGAATTAGAGCATTTTATGCACGGGAAGGTCCTCAAATCGGGCCTCGAAAGTGACATCCACACACACACACACAGTTACACGCCAAAATTATATAAGGTAGGATATTTAACTGAGGGGGAAAAACCCAATTTCTAATTACTGATAGGAAGAAATCCATTACCACAGTAGTTTTTGAGTTTTTACGCAGCTATTTTTAACTCTCTTTTGGAATTAACATAGATTTTCCTCGATTTTGTGATAGAAATACCATTCGGCTTCATTTGGCGTCAAAAAAATTACTCGAATAAGCGATTTTTTGAAAAAATTGTGCGGTGTTTCGCCCTGACAAGGAATTTGGAGGTTTATTCATAGGAAAAGTCTGTAGAGAATTCCTTGTGAAAAAATCCTTAAGGGCCATTTCCATAAGCATTATAAATGCGTATGACAATGAAAGCCCTTAAAAGTTGTAAAAAGGCGCAAAATGCACGGTCAAGTGACGCCGACGGGGGGATTCAGGACATTGATAACCCGCCGACTCCGGACCTTTGCATGCTGGGTGTTCCCCCAGTCCAGCCATATATACCCACCGATTTTTGGAGGGCCAGACGGGGCGCGTTTCAGTTGCGATGAGTCACAAAGGTTTCTCAAAATGCTGTTGTTGCCCCTCCCCTGCCCTATATCTATTGCACAATGTTACAAAATGGCTTCTGGACATCGCCCCCGAAACGCATTCCAGCTGGCCCACAGAATTTTCTGGGGTTTATAAGGAAGAAGAGGGGAGGGGCCAATGTGCATTGGTCCGAAGTCGGCGGGTTATCAAATACTTGACTACCCCCCGTCGACGATCACTTGACCGTGCTTTTTGCATCTTTTTGTGGGCCCTGGCCAGAGACTCTTTGCCAACGGTAGAAGTGCAGGATTTTCAGGATTTACGGTAGCAGGACGGTATCTATAGTAAGTTCTTGGAAAGAAGGCTATATTTAGTTTCACTGCGGATTTAAATCCACGGCGTTTCGACCGCTACGGTGAAGATGGCCACTTTATGCGACATCTGCATGTAAATTGCGGTTTCCTGTCCAAAAATTATAAGGTCTTTTAAGAAAACGTCGTATATGGTATGAATAATAAACAATTTTTAAAAATAAAGCGCCTATTTTCTCGCCGTTTCAAGAACTTTCCAATGACATGAAAATCGTCCCGAACCGAGGGTTTTTCCGTATCGATAGAGCCTTTTTTGGAAAAGCCTATATTTGAGGAAATACTCTGTGAAATACTGTATGTTCAACGCCACGCTCTATTTTTAGCACTACAGTGGACTCGCGGATTTGTTGATCCAAATCTTTGTCCCCCCTTGTTTCGCGCGCGCTTGTTTCCCAAACCTAAAAATGGGAAGGTCAGCGGATCCCTTTCCTCGGAGCTCTCTCTCTCTCGCTCTCTCTCTCTGTCTCTCTCTCTCCCCCGTTCTGCTCTTCCGCTCTCTCTCCTTGCAAAAATCTCCACCCACCTATCCTGTTGACGATATTGGTGCCAAGAAATTCCCCGTTCATTCGACTCCCAAGGTTTTGTAGCCGGTGTTGAAATCCTCTATTCCCTTCTACACCACGTGACGATGGTTGTCCCTTTCTTTAATGCTTGGGCGGTGCCGAAGGCTCAAAGTAGGTTAAAATATTTATAAAATTTTGGCAAGCAAAAAAAAGAATTCCAAAGTGACCCCATGGGGGTAATTTTTTGATTTTTTGTCCCTTGCAATTATGGAATCCTACCTTATCTAATTTGGTCGCGTATCTTTGTGTGTGTGTGTGTGTGTGGATGTCACTTTCGAGGCCTGATTTAAGGACCTTCCCCTGGATAAAATGCGCTATTTTTCCGTCACTTGGGGGAATCGACCCTCCTCTTTCCGATGGCGCTTTCAGAATTTCGATAAAATACAAGTTTACAAAGTTAAAGCCGGTTTTATTCATTTTTGGGGGTCCAGGAGGGCTAATTTGCATAATGTGAAAAAATACAAATTTACTCATTCTGGCCAGTTGCACTCGCGCCTTTGGTCGGGCGCGCGAGAAGGGGGTCCGCAGGACCCGGGCTATCGGAAAGTCAAATTTTTCATGCAAAGGCCGCATTCCAGCGCCCAAGGCCCGCGAAGCGGGTTTTGGGCGCTGGTTATCTTATAACTAAGAAGTCAGACGTAATTTGCACAGAAAAAGCGCATAAACCATTTAATCACATGAAAAAATGGAAAATTTTCTAGCCGAAAAAACTTCAATTTTCAGCCTGCCCTCATTGCGCAAAAGAGCTGCCCGCTCAAGAAAATGCGATAAATGGATGGCTGGCTACGGTAGGGTTTCATTTCAAAAATAGAATTTTATTAAATTTAGAGCCAGCGGCCGTATTCCAACCGTCAATTGGCGTGTTCGTATTTTGGGTTCATGATCCTTGTCGCCAGCTTCTGGATGTTCTACGCACTCGTCATCCTTGCCGCTTTTTCGCCGCCCGGCGCTACCGTATACTCTAATGGTAACAATTTGATTTGTAGCGTTAAAGCTCGGAAAATTAGAAATTAGACAAATATACCGTAAAATACAAAATTCTAGATCAATGAGAATTCAGAAAAACATTTCGATTTAATTTTTACCAGGTGGGCCGATTTTTGATGGCTTGAAACAATTAAAATGACTTTTTTAAATTCTCTAATTAAAATTTAGCCGAAAAGCCTTGTTGGAAAACACTAAAAGCAACCGGATCAAAATTATCAGTCATAAAAAATCATAAAGCAGTCAAAATTGGAGAAAAACTTATTTGCTGGACTATCCTACTATATATAAAAAAATAGTGTTTGTGTGTGTGTCTGTGCCACTTTGCATATAACTTCCGTCACCGTGTTCCAGTAGTATCTCAAGAAGGGAAGTACTTAGGGATATGTTCGATACGTCATTAGGTGCGTAATGGTCAGGAGATGACTGCACACACATGATATTTAACAAAATCACCTATTTTCGCTATTAAATTGAAGTTTTTGTTGCAAAATTGGAGACTCTCTTTGTTAGGAATCAATTAGCATACACCGGAAGTGGCGATCGCCTATATAACGGGAAAGAGGCAACACTTTTCATTTTTTGCTTATTGGAATCCAGGAAAATCATGCAAAGTGGAGAATATCCTAGGGGCAGATGGGGGCAGGGTTGAAAAGTCGCGAAGCGGCTTTTCAACCCTGGTTATTGTAATAAAAACCATACCTCTTTCAAATTTATGCTAATTTTCCCCCATTTTCAGGCACCCTCGAAGACCAGGCAAAAGCCCTCCGCGCCGGCCCGGCCATCTTCATCTCCATGCTAATTCCCGTCCTCCCGGCTACCGTATCCTGCCTTGTACTTTGCTGCGGGACCCGAAAAATAGCCCTGAAAATCTTTATCACTCTGCAAATCCTCGTCATCCTCATCGTCCCCGGCTTCATGGTTTCCCAGCTAAAAGAAGACATCCTCCCGTATAAGGCCGATTTTTGCGAGCGTACAGTCGCGGAATTGGGGCGCGGCAGCGCGGTGGTACTTAAGCATTTTGAGGGTTTATTCAGGAATATAACCAATTCGGCGCATTACATCGAGGAATGCTCGAACGAGAATTTTTTGGTGAATTCGGTGAATGGGTCCCTGATTTTCCACAGTAAAAAAGAACATCAGAAATTGCTGGATTATTGCTTGTGGGCTACAGAAAATAAACCACAATTTTCGGATGAGATTGTGCTGTGATTGGGGGTGCTTTTGCATCGTAAAAACTTGGCGTTTTTGCTTACAATTTTGTATTTATTTTGGTGTACATAAAGTTAACATTTATTACATTGCAGGAGCTGAAAACTGACAAAATGAGTCAACTTTTAAAGGGGCCAGTAAGGCAAAACTATATATTTCGTCATCTATGGGCAGGGACGTACGAGGGGCAACAAGGGCAAGTTCCCCCAAAATCGGCCGAAGGCCGAAAGAAAAGTTCATAAGGGGGGACCCTTATGATTTTTTCAATAAAATGTTTCTGCCCTGCGGCGCTGTTCATTACTGTTTTTAAGACGGTTTTTACTTCTATGAAGCCTTCCCATCTACAAGCTAAATAAAACGAATATAAAAATAGACATTTCATTTGTATTTTCCCAGTGATTATTAGTGCGAGACGTGAGAGCAGTCAGGCAGCAGATGTGACCCTGCCCCGAAGCGTCCCAAGCAGATGCTTTCAGAGTCTGCCAGCCCTCTCCTTAATGAGCATAGATCCCCGGTTCCCCAGCCCCCCCAGAAAATCCTGGCCTAAACCTCGGCGTCGTTGTTTTCCTACCTCACAGATCGCTAGCAAATTGTTACAACAAGTATAAATCTGTGTTTCCTTTAGTCAAATTTTGCTGGCCCAAGTAAATTTTCGTGCTTCGACCCTCCTTGAACTTACGGCATCGGTACCAAAATGTATGTTATAGAGTTTAGGCCATGCCGAACATTTTGATTAACTCGGCACATCAACAGGACTAGGGCAACGTACGTATGGTTAAAAGTTGGACCTGGGGCACAATCCGACTCTGAGCAAAATTTCAAACTTGTGGCCAAATCTGGCCATGCCAATCTGGCCATGGCCAGGCCCGTACGAGGGTGCGCGTTTTTCGTTAGTGCATCAATTTTTTACAAAAATTTTGGCCTGCGGCGCCTTTTCTTTGAGATTTTCATAGCAATATGAGCGTAACAAAAGCGTTTTTATACACTTTTTTTTTGCCTGCGGCGCTTCTATCAGGTTGGAACGGGGCGAGAAGGGATTTTCAGTGGTTCTGAAATTGGTGAAGGGGGGGGGGAGGTCGTCACCAAATTTTTGGGTGCCCCCACCCCCGAAATCTCGGCTCCCGTACGGGCCTGGCCATGGCCAGGGCCGTAGCGATCCACGAAATTTTTTTGCGACCCGCCGCTGGCGACTTTTGTGACCTTGCTCCTTAAAGTGCACCGTAGTGTTAAATAAACTAAACCGATTGGGGGGGACAACTTGTCCCAGTTGCCCCTCTTCTCCTACGGGCCTGGCCATGGCCGTGCCGTTAAGCTGGTGGTGCCTTTCCTTGTGCTATTGGGCCCCTAGGGCACCGCCCTACTCTCACTCCTCTCACACTTTTCGGTAGGATGATTTTCGGTAGAACGAATTTCGGTAAAGTGACCGGGAACCGTATATCAGCGGCGTTTGCCAATTCAGAACTAGCACTAGTTCAATCCCAGCACTAGACGGCACCAGTAGGTTAAAGCACCCCCCGCACCCACCCCCCTCCCCCTCCCCCCCCCCCGAAGCCTGTGGTGCCTTTCCTTACGCTCTTGGGCCTCTAGGGCACTGCCCTACCCTCACTCTGCACTCTAGCATGGGGTGCCGTTCTTTGGCACACCATTTCCACCCTAGCGTTTGTTTTTGCATTGAATGATTTTAAGGTATTATTAACTTCAAAACATGACCAATAATAATAATGCTATTGAAAAAAAAGGAAAGGGGACCTGATGGTTGCGAATTTTTGAATAGATGTTCCAAGAAAAGAAAATTTTTACCGCCTCAATAAATTGATTTTAATGAACATTCATTCTATCCTTACATTTTCTCTCTCTCTCTCTATCGATTTGACAACTTTAAACCTGTTGATTTAAAACTTTTAGGGTTCTAGCATTTCGAGATCATTGATTCCGCCCTACATCACGGCACGATGGTCGCTCTATTCAAGCCACAGAAAGTGCATCCTCCACGGAGTACGTTAAGAAACTGAATTAAAGTGTTAAACCGGAAATCAAAACATCGATTTTTCGATCTTTTTAGCGTCTCCGCGCCGGCCGCAGTTGTTGCCACCAGAGGCCAATCCAGTAATTGCGAAGCATGTTGAGGTAATACATTTTTAATTGATGTGGGCAAAACCAGTTTGTTAACTTGATAGAAAAGCTTTCAATCGTGTTTTACTAACCTTTTAGTGTTTCTAGTAAGTATATTTCAACTCGAAAACCCATCTTTTACCAAAAAACTCGTCTAAAAAGTGGTGAAAAAGTCGACATTTTGGTCCAAAAAACTTTGGTCACCTTTTTTGGTCGAAAAACGATATTTCTTTCTTGATTAAAAATCAGTAAAGTTTTGACGTTTCGGGCTAATAAAAACCGCTTTAGAAACATCTCCACAATTAAGCCTATTATTTTATTTGAAAAATTAGGTTCAAAGGAAAAAGTTTTTCCGACCCGCCGGTAATGCAAAAGAACCAAATGGAATTCAGACGCAACAGCCGTGGAACCCGGAATTGGCAAAGATCCTACTTGTGATTGCGTCTATTGTCGTGATTTGCTGGATGTTCGCTGCTTTCTTCTTGCAACAGTCTATGCAATCAACCCGTTTTGCCGATTCTCCAACAGGTATACATATTCCCTTACAACCGAAACTCTTTAATTCCACCTCAGCTCAAGAGGATGTGTTTCTCCACCTCGATGCCAAAATCAGCCGGAAATTCCGGTCTGACAGCCGAGAAATCGGCTGCACAGAAAACAAACATACTTTTCTCGCTTATAGGATAGGATTTGGTAGCAAAAACGGCTATTTGTACGATTTTGGGCACGGTGAGCCAGGTCGCGCGCATTTCGGCGGGGCCGGGAACGCGGGGGATAGCACGCTGGCAGCTATCGGATCGGACTGGTAGTTTCACCATTCGAAAGCTCTTGAAACGGTGCGGGTTCAACAACCTTCAAAACCATGTATTTATTTCAACCCGCTATTGTCCACGCCGTTGTGGCGGTTAATACGAGGCAGAGGCCCCGATCCATCACGTTATGAACGCGTTTTAAACTCGCGTGTTTCAATAAAGACATGGTTTTGAAGATTGTTGCAAACTGGCCGTTTCAAGGGCTTTCGAATGGTGTAAATATCATTCTGATCCGATACTTCTGTTTCGAGTTAGAGGGGGTGTTTGTTATTAGGACCCCCTGTAAGTAACCATAAAGATCCCTCAAAAAGTAATAAATTTCACTAAAAAAATACCATTTCAGTGACCCTCGACGAGCAAGCAATTGCCCTACGAGCCATCACGGCCATTTTCATCTCGATGGCAATTCCCTTCCTTGGTATCTACGTGGGCAGTCTGATCGCTCTCAAACGGCCCCGAAGAACGGGCATCGCATTTTTTGTCGTACTCCAACTGCTCGTCATCCCCATCACCACTTACCTCATCGTCGTCCAGTTAAAAAAAGATATTTCGCCCTATAAAGCCAACCTCTGCCACTGTACAGTCGCAGAACTCGCGTCCCGAAACCAGCTGGTAGCTGAGCAATTTGAGCGTTTGTTGGAAATAGAAGCCAGATTGGCGCATTCACTCGCACTTGCAAAATGTTCGAACGAGGGTTTCCTGGTGAATTTTGTGAATGGATCTCTGGTTTTTCGCAATAAAAAAGACCACCAAAACGTGATGGACTATTGCGCGCGGGCTGCAGGATCAAACCCGCAATTTATGGATGATCTTTTCGTGTAATTTGGTGGCTATCGTACGCTTTCATTTTGCTATTTTTACTCAGGGAATTTTTGTGTATGCATATTCTGATGTAGATAAATTGTTTGGTGCATTTTGTACTGTTTCCTTGCAACGACAATCAACTAAACGGATAACTAAATCGGCCACATGTTACTTCCCCCCAGCCGGAAGTTCCCAAAATTTTCCGATATTTTCGCTATTTTGCGGAAATCTCGCAAAATTTTCGGAACGCCAAAAACGGCAATTTGCCGGGAGCGGCAAACGAGCCGGACGTAGCGCGCGTTAAAAAAAGCTCTTTTAACTTTTTTTTAAACGATTTAATATTGAAAACCGAATATCCATTATTGTAGAGTAGGATTTTACGGTTCGAATGATACCAGAGACAGCAAGTTAGCACTCCGAAAGACCACTTCACAAAGTCACCAACCGAAACCGCCTTCGTTACGTCCTATGCGTTCTAAATTCAGTTTTGCTAGTGTTTAGTATCATGAGAATCGCCGTGTCCCATTCTACAAAGCTGGAAATGGCTTTTTCAAGATTCCCTTTAGTTTGAAAGTTATGGCTTCGAAGTTTGGGCCCCATACATTTTCTTGACGAATGGAGCGTCGCGTTGCTTAGGCGCTTATTGCCGCAAATTCTGGGCGTGGGCGCAATGGATAAGCGGGGCAGTGGTCATTCTACCGAAAAGTCGATCATTGAACGGAAATAGAATCCTCCGACAGTATTCTTTTGATTAGACGAGTCCGGTATGTGAGGAAGGAGATTGGAATGGGGGTTTTCGGGAGGATTATAACGACTTTTCGGTAGGATGATTTTCGGTAGAACGAATTTCGGTAAAGTGACCGGGAACCGTATATCAGCGGCGTTTGCCAATTCAGAACTAGCACTAGTTCAATCCCAGCACTAGACGGCACCAGTAGGTTCAAGCACCCCCCCCCGCACCCACTCCCTTCCCCCGAAGCCTGTGGTGCCTTCCTTACGCTCTTGGGCCTCTAGGGCACTGCCCTACCCTCACTCTGCACTCTAGCATTGGGTGCCGTTCTTTGGCACACCATTTCCACCCTAGCGTTTGTTTTTGCATTGAATGATTTTAAGGTATTATTAACTTCAAAACATGACCAATAATAGTAATTATGAAAGAAAAAGGAACAGGATGTTTGAGAATTTTTGGGTCATTGTCCCAAGAAAAAAAAGTTTTTAGCGTCTAAAGGATTGGTTTTAATAAACGTTCGCGTTCTATAACTTACTCTCTCTCTCTCTCTCTCTCTCTCTCTCTCTCTCTCTTTCTCTCTCCCTTTCTCTATCGATTTGACAACTTTAAACTTGTTGATTTAAAACTTTTAGGGTTATAGAGTTTCGCGGTCAGTGATTCCGCCCCACAGCACCCACGATGGTCGCTCTATTCAAGCCACAGAAAGTACATCCTCCACGGAGTACGTTAACAAACTGAATTAAATTTTAAGGTCGAAATCATAACATAGATTTTTCGTTTTTTTTTTAGCGTCTGGGCCTCAGCCGCAGTTATTGCCACCAGAGGCCAATCCAGTAATTGCGAACCAAGTTGCGGTAAAAATTTTTAATTCATGTTGTCATTGTGCCAGTACAGACCTATTTTATTGAATTTTTATCACCCGTATGTTAGGTTCTTTCGCATTATCGGGGTGGTCGAACTTTTTTTGTATAAGCCTAGAAATGACTGACTGATGATTGACTGCTAAGCCTAGAGATTCATGTTTAGAAATAACCAGGGTTGAAAAGCCGCTTCGCGACTTTTCAACCCTGGCCCGTCTGACCCATGTTATTTTTCACTTTGCATAATTTTGCTGAATTAGGATGACAAAAAATGAAAAACAACCTCTCCTGTCCCTTTATATAGTCAAATCCCCACTTCCGGTCTATGCTAACTATTCCTAACAAAGAAGTTTTTACAAAAACTTAAACTTAATCTCGAAAATAGGTAATTTTGTTAAATCTGATATGCGTGCAGTCATCCCCAGGCCATTACGCACCTAATGACGTATCAAACATACCTTAAAATTCATCCCCTATCGAGATATCCTCCGGACAGACAGACGGAAGTGGATGCAAAGTGGCACACACACACACACACAAACACTATTTTTTTATATATAGTAGGATAAGAACCCAGTTAGAAACAACTCCACAATTTATATTTCAAAATTTTCAAAAGCGGATTCTAGAATTGGTTCCACCCCCCCCGGTAGTGCGAAATAACCAAATGGAATTCAGACGCAACAGCCGTGGACCCCGGAATTGGCAAGGATCCTAATTACGATCGCGACTCTTGTCATCTTTTGCTGGCCGTTATCTGCTTTCATCTGGTATCTGTCTATGATCCCAAACAGGTCTACCGATTATACAACAGGTATAAATACCGAAACTCTTTAATTCTATCTCAGCAATTTCATATTAGAAAGTTTTTGTTCTTGATATAATTTGTCCGTCCTAAGCCAAATTCAACTGGAAGCGGAAAGGAGCTAGAGCTTGGGTCTCCTCGGATTCGGATCGGGCGCGGTCAGAAACTCCCAAACAGATTCAAAAAAACTAAAATTATTTTTTATTTAGAAATCGATATTTGTAATTTGGTACCAAACGACTACTTGTACTATGATGGGCATAGTGAGCCAGGTCGCGCGCGTTTCGGCGGGGCAGGGAGCGCGGAGGATAGCACGCTGGCAGCTATCGGATCGCGATGGTAGTTACACCGTTCGAAAGCTCTTGAAACGGCAAGTGTTCAACAATCTTCAAACCATGTATTTATTTATTTTACATGCCATTGTGGCGGTTAATAAGATGCAGGGGCCGTTCCATAACGTTTTTGAACACGTTTTAAGTGGCGCGTTTCGATGAAAATATGGGTTTGAAGAATGTTGCAGGCTCGCCGTTTCAAGGGCTTTCGAATGGTGTAAATATCATTCCGATCCGATACTTCTGCTTCGAGTTAGAGTGGGGGGGGGTGCCTTTTTATTGGGACACCCTTGAAGTAACCACAAAAATCCCTTAAAAAGTAATAAATCTCTACCATTTCAGTGAGCCTGAACGAGCAAGGGAAGGCCCTACGAGCCCTCCGGGCCCTTTTGATCTCGTTCGCATATCCCTTCCTTGGTATCTTCGTGGGCAGTATGATCTGTCTCAAACTGCCCCGAAGAACGGGCATAGCATTTTTTGTCGTACTCCAACTCCTGGTCATCCCCATCACCACTTACCTCATCATCGTCCAGCTAAACAAGGACATTCCCCCCTATAAGGCGGAATTCTGCCAAGGTCCCGTCCGAATACTGGCGTCGACTAGCCGGCTGGTAGCTGAGCACTTTGAAAGTTTGTTGAGACAAGAGGCCAGATTGGCGCCTTTACTCGAAAAATGTTCGAACGAGGGTTTCCTGGTGAATTTTGTGAATGGATCTCTGATTTTTCGCAATAAAAAAGACCACCAAAACGTGATGGACTATTGCGCGCGGGCTGCAGAACTAAACACGCAATTTTTGGATGATCTTTTCGTGTAATTTGATAGCTATCGTACGCTCTCATTTTTGGGCCTTGTCACTCAGGGAATTTTTGTTTATGCATATTCTGATGTAAATAAATTGTTTGGTGCATTTTGTACTGTTTCTTTTCAACGACAATCAACTAAATCGGCCACACGTTACTTACCCCCAGCCGGAAGTTCCCAAAATTTTTCGAGATTGCCGCTTTTTTTGTCGGAATTTTGACTACGTCACTCAATAGAGCATAAAAACTATGCCAATCAACGCCCAAAGTAATGTAATATAGAAAAATTATGACTAAAAATTATTGGAAACTCCGGCTGGGGGCAAAGTAAAGGTAGCCAATATATTATCTAAAGAGACCGCACGATCATAGTTAACCCCAATTTTTCGACGGTATAGTTTGATCATTTTGAGTGTTACGGGATTAGCATTATAAGATTTAGATCTTACGCAAAACCGTATAAGAAGATCTTAAGTTAGCTGGCTACCCTTGGCTGATAGCTTGGCGCAAACAGGCCAAAAACGGCATTTGCCGGGAGGGGCAAAAAGCGTCTATACGAGCCGGGCGTAGCGCGCGCTCAAAAAACGCCCCTTTAACTTTTTTAAACCGACTGATTATTGCAAACCCAACATCAATTATTGCAGAGTAGAATTTTACGGTTCGAATGATACCAGAGACAGCAAGTTAGCACTCCGAAATGCCACTTTTCGCCTTCGTTAGGATACTTTCTAAATTCAGTTTTGTTCGTGCGTAGTATCATTAGAATCGCCGTGTTCCATTCTACAAAGTTGGAAACCGGCTTTTTTAAGATAGACCTTATCTTTCAAAATATAAGCCTCCAAGGTTTTTACCCCCATACATTTTCTTGACGAACGGAGTGCTTCGTTGCCTAGCCCATACACCGCCAAGATTTGGGGTGTGTACCAGTTGCCCGTAGATACCCTGGCCCCTAGGGCACTGCCCTTCTTTCAGTCTGCACTCTAGCATGGGGTGCCGTTCTTTGGCACACCATTTTGACCGGTTACCTACCTACCTGTTAGCGTCTGGATCGATAATGAGAAACCAAGCTTTTAAATCAGTATTTGCTTCAAAACAGAATTAATAATATTAAGGCATAATTGAACTAACGGTAGTCTAAAAAGAAACAATTCGAAAGTCGTAACCAATTTTTGAACCATTAACGGTAATCTATCGATGCTTTTTGCTAGTAAATTATTGTAAATATTTATTGGTTCTTTCCCTTCCTCTCTCTCTCTCTCTTTCGCTTTCTCTCTCATTCTCTCGCTCTCCCGCTCTTTCATTGCACTCCCACAGTCTTTTAGGGTGATTCCGCCCCTACACCACGAAACAATGGTCGCCATATTTAAGCCCAGGAAAGCCCAGCATCCGCGGCGTGGGTTTCGAGCACTTTGAATTCTGCTACCATAAAATTGAAAACATTTAACATTTTTAGCTGTCGCTCGACGGCCGCAGCGAAGGCTACCAGAATCCATTTTATTACTTCTTGATACTGATAAACCGAGCGAGAAAGAAGCCATTCTTCTAGTTCGCGATCGAGCTAAGGTAAACTTTCTGTTTTTCTTAAATTATACTAACCTAACCTCTTAAATTACTTGTCCATACATGATGTCTTACTTAGCTTAAAATTTTATTGCAGAACCAAGATTGGGGCCCCGGGGATACGTTCGGGCTGGCGATTTTCATGACCATCGCTACCCTCGTCACTGCTGCCATCTGGTCTGCCCGACTTGCACCCGCCCAGGCCACTGTATACTCAACAGGTACCGCTCTCTCTCTCTCTCTCTCTCTCTCCCTCTCCCCCTCCTCTCTCTCTCTCTCTCGCTCTGTGTCACATTCACAAGATCGTTTTAAAGCGGAAAAGGACCAAAAGGCATTGCAAAAGTAGCGAAAAGCGGAAAATACTACAATTTGGCTCGAAAAATCTCAGCTTTAAAGGGAACAGGACAGCATCTTTTGAATCTCCCTTGGGAGGGGGGCTTAAATTTTTGGCAAGTAGCCAGCAGGGGAGAGAGCGCGCCCAGGGAACAAGCGCAGAAACATTTTCTGTCCCGCGCGTAATCGATTGACTTATCACTTCACAAAACACTTAAAAACCATCCTTCCCCCCCTTTCCCTCCCCCCCCCCCCCCGCGCGCCCCTCCCCCGGTTGCACGCAAATCACGTTTTTAAGAAGGGTCGTTCAGCAAAAACTAATATGGAAGTCTGACTTTTTTGGTAATTCTCCGTCGATGAAAGTACGTTCGATTGCTATTTGCGATACGGGTTAAAAACACTTCCCTTGTAAGCCATTATCCCTTCATTTCAGCGACAATCGAGGACCAGGCGAAGGGACTACGCTCAAAATGGGTCCCTTTCCTGTTGGTGCCAATCCTTACCGTTCCGCTCTACGCATCCTGTCTGATCGGCCTCTTCGCGACCACAAAAAGAACTGTACAGATAACTTTCCTCCTTATTCTCCCCCTCATCCTCATCGTATCCGGCTTGATCATTGCCCAGCTGAACAGAGATCTCCAGCCGTATAAGGCCGAGTATTGCCAGGGCGCGGTCGCAGAATTGGGGAAGCAAAGCGCGCGGGTGGTCTGGCTCCTTGAGAGTTTATTTCGAAATACAACCAATGCAGAGCATTACCTCCAGGAATGCCTCAGCGAGAATTTCTTGGCAAATTTTGAGAATGGGACACTGATTTTCCGGAATAGAACGGAACACCGCAATCTGTTGCACTATTGCGCGAGGGCTGCGGAAACGACCCCGCAATTTTTGGATGATCTCTTGCTGTAATTTGGTGTCTATTGAATTTTTGGTCGCTTGTCTTACCTCAGGGATTTTTGTATTTATTATTATGCAAATAAATTGTTTGACGCATTTCTGTGACCTTTTTCCGAATTGAAACATTACATACAACGGCGAACTAAATATCGTATAAAGTTAGACGTTATAACGTTTCGATTTTTACCGTTTGATGCCAGTACAGGGCACCCTAATTCTGACGATACTTGTCTGTTAGTGGGGGGGTGGGATTTTTAGCAGGCGGAAACAAATTTTTGCCAGTAATCCTGTACGGACCCGTACCCAAATATAAATCGATTCCTAAAATATAACACGCAAAATTTTCAAAATCTTTGACAAAATTTTGACTTTTTGTTCAAAAATATATGAAAAATTCGCAAAAAATCACAAAATTTTCGAATTTTCGAGCCATTTTAAATGTTTTTAACTTTGTTGATTGCTAACCAGTAGTTATAAGCTGAATAACAAAAATTATTTCCGACCTGCTAACTGCCCAGTGCCATTTCCAATGCCGTGGATTGGTAATTCTCCGTTTTACCGGAGTAAGAGTGGTAGTGTTACAAGAATTATATATTTGTAAATACAACACAGAAACGAGCAAAGTTAATTAATTATCATTGGTTTATTCCATTGAGCGGAGGATACCCTAGCCCCTAGGGCACCTCCCTTCTCCTTTCTCTGCACTCTAGCCTGGGGTGCCGTTCCCTGCCGCACCATTTCTCCTCTGGCATATTTGCTCGGATGAGTCATAAATCTTCTAAAGCGCTATTTTGCTTTTAAAAGGAGTCCCCCCCCCCTTTGAGGGAAAAAAACCACAACCCCGGGCGGGGGGAGACCGAAACCCCCGTCCCCCTTTTTTGGTGCTCCTCTTTTTCCCCATTTGGGAATTTTTGGGGGGGGAAAAAAGGAAGGAAAAAAAAAAAAGTTTACGTTTTCTTTTTCGTTGAGAAGCCCATCCCCAATAACAAAAAAAAACAATCTTCTTTTGAAATTTAAAAAAAATTAATTTTAAATTCCAAAAAAAAATTTTACCTTTATTTAATAAGTAATGATATTTTTATTGAACACAGTTGAGTTTGAAAGCCCTCGTGTGGATTTTTTTGAACGTCGGTTCGAAAACATAATCTAATTTTTGCTACCAAGTGATTTGATTCGAAGCATCATTCACTGGAGCTCTCTCCTTTCCATCTCTCTCTCCGCCCTGCCTTATCTCTCTCTCTCTATCTCTCTCGCTCTTTCTCTCGCTCTCTCTCCCTCTCTCTTTCTCTCTCTCGCTCTCTCTGGCTCTCGCTCTCTCTCCCTCTCCCTCTCTCTCTATCTCTCTCCCTCTCTCTCTTTCTCGGTCTCCTCGTTGCTCCGTGTCTCTCTTCTCATTTCCGAAAAGCCGATCACGAGGTTCATTTTACACTTTCAGTATCTCCCCATTATTCCGTCCTACACCACGTGAAAATGGTCGCCCTATTCAAGCCACGTAAAGAGCCTACGCGTGAGTTTAAGTCACTTTTTAAATTATCATAACCGGAAAATCCGAAAGCTCCGATTGTTTTAGCTACCCCTGGACGCCCGGCGCAATTCCCTCCAGAACCGAATCCCATATTTTACAATCCGGGCAGGATAAATGTCACAATTCCCCCGATTATAAGCGTTCCGGTAAAACCATATTTTATTTTTGTTGTCTAGTTTTGTTTTAGAAACCAGAGCCGCCGGATCCTGAACTCGCCAAAGCTGTATTATTTCACACGGTCGCCGTCACCTTCTTCTGGGCGGTATCTGGGTTCCTGACGCTTTACCTTACCTCACCGCCCCGGGCAACCGAATACTCAACAGGTACCACAGTGATTTCCCACAGTCTCTAGATAAAAACTGCTAACGCAAGGGGATGAAGGAAAGCCTTTTTTCATTCCGACCATTGATTTCGAAAGTTCGTATGTCAATCACGTATCGAGGGCGAAGTCCTTAAAAGGGTGGTAGTTAATTTTAATGCATTTGTATTTTTATTGTTTGATTTTAATCCAGGGTGCAGGGCCGTAGCGATCCCCGATTTTGGGGGGGACTCCAAAAAAAATTTTGGCGGCGTAGAAAAACTCCCAAAATCAGCGCCGCAGGCGAGAATTTTTGAAAAATTAGGTTCATGACAGTAAAAACAATCTTAAAAATAGCCACAAAACGGGCCGCAGGCAAAAATAACGCGAGAAAACGCGAAAATAACAAAAAACACTAAATCATTGGATCCAAAAATGCCATAAAACCCAACGCGTTTGCTAGTAAAGCGTTAGCGTTTTTCAACAATTTAACGTTACAAAACAAAAAGCGCTCATGCCTTGCCAAGGACAAGTTCAATGGCTTCTCCATCCATTTCGCCACCCCCATTGACGTGGGCCCTGGGTCTGATGGTGCAATGGCTGCTTATTTCCTTAAAAATGCTTTATCGCGTTTTCTCGCGTATCCGGTCACCTAAAGCTTTCTAGGTAAGCACATACGTTATATAGAGCTTGGCTTTTCGCACCACCCCTGAAAATTTCAGCTCGTTCGGAAAAAAGGGGGCCAAATGCCGAGGGGGAGGGGGGTTTATGAGACACCCTGTAGTTAATTGGGAGTGAATATGTCAGGTTGTGAATTAAACAATTTTAAAAAATTTCATACATTTTCAGGGACACTCGATGACCAGGCCAGAAACCTCCGCGCCCTACCGGCCATGTGCCTCTCACTGCTTATTCCGTTCCTTCCGGGTGCCGTAGCCGGCTACGTCCTCTTTGATAAGCCCCGTAACACGGCCCTCAAAACTTTTCTCGTCCTCCAAATCCTCGTCATCCTCATCGTCCCCTCCCTCATCGTCGTCCAGCTCCAGCGCGATATTCTGCCGTACAAGGCCGATTTTTGCGAGGACACAATGGAGAAATCGGGGCGCGGCAGCGGGTTGTTAGTTGAGCATTTCACGAATTTGGTCAAAAATGTGACCAACTCGGCGCATTACCTTGAAGAATGCTCGAATGAGAAGATCGTATCGAATTTTGTGAATGGATCCCTGATTTTCCGAAATCCATCCGAACACCGACTGCTCATGGATTACTGCTCCTGGGCAACTGAAGGGAAACCCTATTTCCTGAGTAATATCGGTAGCAATTTGGCGTTTTTCGCACCATTCTGCATCACTTGTGTCTTTCTGTATTTATTCTGATGTACATAAATAGTTTATGCTTATTCACGCCAGTTTTTATAAAAAAATTCACCAAGTACAATTTAAGCGAGGAATTATAGAGAAAGTCACAGAGACGACCAATTACGCCATTTATAACAGGGCAAACAAAAACAAATGTAGATAAAAAATAGGTTTCCGAGTCGCGAAGTCGGGTAAAATCTTGGAATATCGACTGACAAAATCTCTATGCTGAAATCTGACAAGTGTCCTATCTTTTTGAAACACACTGTATTTTTCGACGGGAATCTGCCATCATCTCGAAAATCAACATCTGGAAAGCTCATTATCTCGAATGTCAGTATCTACCAATTTCCATAACGGTGTTGGCAAGAAATCTCTCAATTATCGATGCAATCTGATACAATGGAATTGTCGAAAGACTCAAATTTCGAGATCTTGATTTTCGAGATATTGATTTTCCAGATCGTGATTTTTGATTAACTTTGAAGGAAATCTTGTTCGAGTCTCTATCAATGGCATCTTGCAAATTCGCCAACTATTAAAAAAAAATAAAACTAATTAGTGCGCCCGTAAACCAGCGTGATCCTAGGGGTGTCTCAAACGCTTGTAAATTTTGGCATAAAAAATAATCAAATATTCATTTCAGCCAGCCTGAACTACCAAGCAAAAGCCCTAATCGTCCGCCCGCTCCTACTAGGCATGATGATTGTGCTTCCTCCGATTCCGGCTGTTGTAGCCTGCTGGGTTCTTAAGAACAAGCCGCCAAAAACGGCCCTAAAAACTTTCTGTGTTCTGGAAATGATTCTCATCCTCATCATCGCTGGCTTTCTCACCGTCCAGCTAACAAGAGACAGTGCCCCCTATAAAGCCGAATTTTGCGAGAATACAATCGAGAAATTGGGGCGCGGAAGCGCGCTGGTGGTCGAGAATTTTGCGAATCTAGTCAAAAATAGGACGAACGCAGCGCATTATATTGACGAGTGCTCGAATGAGAATTTCATATCGAGCTCTGTGAATGGATCCCTGATTTTCCGGAATTCAAAGGAACACAATCTACTTGTTGATTACTGCGCGTGGGCCACCGAAATGAAACCCCATTTTCTGAGCAATATTGGCAGCAATTTGGCGTTTTTCGCACCGTTTTGTATCACCTATGTCTTTCTGTATTTATTTTGATGTACATAAATTGTATAACAATTGTATAACTAATAAACACGCTATTTTTTACAAAAACGATTCAGAGCTAATCGTTCTCCTCTACAGGGTGTCCTATAAAAACCGATCAGGCTGTCATTTTACCATTTTTTGAGTCCGGTCGATTTCAACAGAGATCCACAGGTATTTAAAACCTTCACAGAATGTTTAGCGCGCAATCTACAGTAGTCTTCGAAATTTAGCAAAAAATAAACTTTAGTTTACATTTTTAACCGAGGTTTTGCCGGAGCTGGGCCGGGTAATATATGGCAAAGATGAAGCGCCGATCCATTTTTATCCTAGTTAATTTTTTACTTCGCAAAATTCGGCTTGGAAATAGGTTATTTAAAGCGCACGTTCAGGGAGGGGCCGTGTACGCGTCCCAACGTGTACACCTTATGGACATAGGGACCGCGCGCGCGGCCTGCCCGTGCTGTGACAGGCCATTCCCCTCCTTTGCGGCGTGGGGCGCCCCTCGCCCCCTCGCTAGGTTGTAGCTGTGTATCCATCGGCGCTTGTCCTGGTATCTCCGCTCACTGGTATCCTTTAAAGGGCAGGTTCAGGGACGTCTTTTTGGAAAAAGGCAAAAATTTTTGCCGCGGCTGGGGGTCGAACCCGGGCCCCCCCGCTCGGGAGGCGCGAATGGATACCAGTCAGCCACAGCTACAACCCGGAAAGGGGCCGAGGGGCGCCCCACGTCGCAAAGGAGCGGAATGGCCTGTCACAGCACGGGCAGGCAGTGCGCGCGGTCCCTACGTCCAGAGAGTGTACGCGTTGGGACGAGTACACGGCCCCTCCCTGAACGTGCGCTTTAAGGCACAACCATAGTTCACCCCAAACTCGGCTTTTTTTAAAATTCAGATTTCAAAAGTCGAGAAGATCAAGTCGCAATGATTTTCTGCTGGTTTTTTGGCAAACGTACTGTTCTCTTGTTTTACAGATGAAGGGCTATATTTAAGTACCCTTGCCGGCACTGTACGCCCAAGGCGGGCCGAGATACAAAAACTCACTTTGGATCAGTCCAGCTACACTTTACTTTACCCCCCTCTCAGCCGGCCATTTTACATTTAAGTCATTTTGACAAAGCAGAGTCGTCCCGATGTTGGCAAAATCGACATACAGTCCTTTAAGGTTACACTGGCATAGCAACTACGATTATATAAAATTTGCATCTTGAGTACTTTAATTACATCCACCCGCATTTGCATCCCAGAACCAGAATCTCTGGCGAAAAGGCTCTTTTTGTCTCAATAAAGGTATCATTCGCACACAACTTCCCTCCCGGGCAACGGTTCCCTCGCTTCCGTCCTCCAACCCAGTCAAGCTTGCGACTTCTCATTTGCATCAGAAGCTACATCCACCGTCGCGTCGAGCCATCCGGAACCTCCACCAAAGATTCAAGGTAACCTTTTGTTTCGTAGAAAGAATTAGAATAGCTCCACCGCACTCAAAAACCTTCTCAAAAGCTGCAATTCGCGAAACAGCAAAAAACTTAGCAGCGGCCGGGGGTCGAACCAGGGATGGTCCGCTTCATAGCCCATGATGCTAGCCAGCGCACCACAGCGCCAAACGGCCTGGTATGGGGAAAGGCCCTCAGAAAGCCTTGCGCCTATTTTGCTTTTCCTCTTTGTTTCGGACTGCGTCGGAGCTTAGTTTTGCATAAAAATTACGAATTCTGATTATTAGTTACCTCGATAGTAAGTAGCTTCTCACAATCAGATTTATTCCAGACTTTGCAGCATCGAGATGCACCAGCGCCACAAATCAACCGGCTACCCACCTCGGAACGTCTTCAATGGGGCCTCCAGCTTCTTGCGTCTGATGCTCGTCTCCGCACTGTTGATCTCCTCAGTTGTCGCCACGCCGATCCGGTACACTCTTTGTTTTTCTTTTACGACTATTTTGGGGCGCCCAAAATTCCTTCGACCAGGGTTACGAAACACTCCGCTTCCGTGACTTGACTTCAAGCCTAAGCTTAGGCTTAGCTTGGCTAAACCTAAGCCTAGTATAAGCCCCTGCTTAGGCTTATGCTTAGCTTAGCTTTAATTTGCCCTGAGATCCAAAAGACTTAGCTTACCTTTTGGTTTTATTAGTCTGGGCTGGAAATGAGGCACGGATTTGGTTGAAAAAAAAACTTCTCCTTTAATTTTTTTCCCCTATTTTCCAGTTTGTTGGGGGGGCTTTAATTTCATTTGGAATTCCTTAAAAAAAATATAAACCCAAAAAAATTAAATACAAAAAAAAAAGAAAATTTATACTTTTTTTTTAAATTAAAATTTTCATTTTAAAAAAAAAAAAAAAAAAAAAAAAAAACCCCAGAAAAAAAAAATTTTAAAAAACACCAAAAAAAATTTACCTTTAGGGGTCCCGCCCAGTTGAGAAAAAAAAAAAAAAAAAAATTAAATGCCTTTGGACTTTCGACCAGGGTTCCACCTCCCCCCCCGCTGTCCGTCAGCACCTACCGTTTCTTTTTCATCTTCTGAGCGTAGTTTCTTTTGAAAATTTAGGTACCCTTTTTGCAGGAGCGGCAACGACTCGCGACTCGCTGGCATCGGCCGTCAGCGGAGGGATGCAAGCACCCCGGTTGGTATTGGCGCCGTAACGAGCGCCTGGCTTTGCGTTTCGATGTTTTACCTTTCTAGTGCCCCGGCTTCCGTCCGTTTGTTTGCTACTCGTTCGACGAGCGCGCCCAAGACTATCCGCCGTGGCTACAAACGACCGATACGCAAAAGGAAGCGGACAAGGTAAGGAGGGTATCGTTTCTTTCGCAGAACTTGGCAAGAGGTTCTTGAACCCACAACTGCACTTAAAGGGATAGGGGCGGCAAAAGTCAATCGATTACGCGCGAGAAAGAAAATGTCTCTGCGCCTCTCCCCTGGGCGCCCTCTCTCGCCGCTGCATCTCTTTAAAGGGATGCCCAACCAGTTCGGGCTCAAAAAGCAAAAACCTGGCCGCGGGCGGGGGTCGAACCCCAGACCCCCGTTGGTAGGCCTGGATGCTATCCATTAGGCCATAGTGGCAAGCCAGTGAGGGGGAGGGGGACGCCACAAGAGGGAAAGGGGCCTGAATTCTGCCCCCAGGTATATTTTCAGCCAAATCTTTGAGTGTCCCTATAAGCCATGTTTTTAGTAAAAAAATTCATATTGAAACTCGAAAAACTGACTAAAAAATTTTTCAAGCGTTGTAATTTTGTTAACTAGAATTTGGACCAACGCTCGCTGCTGTCGCCGATTGGCGCAAGAAAAAAGCCGTAGACAGTCAGCGCGGTAAAACTCTTTTTCTAGTGCTCGTCATGTAACGTCGCAGCTGTCACGGAGTGCTATGATGGTCAGCCCTTGACAGCAGCTATTCCACTTGGTAGAAGGCTAAGAACCGCAGAATGTCGCCCTAAACTATGTGTAGGCCTTTCCGAATTTCGGCACACAGTTTTTCCAGAAGCCTGATGCGCCCGAAGCAGCCGACTGTATCGCGCCCGTCAAAATCAATGATAACAAGGGTCGGTGGATCGTATCTTGCGGCTAAAAATGATGTTTCTAGAGACGCTGTACTTCCCCTTCAACCTGTGTACACGCGAGATGTTGGCCTCCGGGCTGTGCGAGGGGAAGAGTCTGTAGGTCATCGTTGGCCACAATTTGAATGGTGCCAACTTCTAGGAGCAACGAAGCATATGTGCCAAAATCAATCCCGCACACGACGCAATACTTCCTTCAATGCGATGCTGGATTTGTCATCCCGCAGTGAGTGTCTTGGCATCCGATGAACCTACTTATAGGAAAAGCTCATATGTTCTTTGTCTAGAAAAGTGGTTGCTGCTGCGGCTGCGGACAGAAAACTCAGGGAGACGTGCATTCCAAGCCTTCAGTTGGCATCCGGATACCTGCAGACGGATAAAACACCACTCGAGAACAACCCATACGACGTCTTCGATCCACTACAGCCCAAGGTAGAAAGTCAAGCCCGACAAAAAGTCTATTAATATTTAGTACTGTCCGAAGGGCGGTCGTCAAGCTGGTGAAAAGTGTGACCCGATGCATCTCTGCATGCCTAACCCACAAGCCATGTTCGTTTTCACCACCTATAGAATCTTGTTTAGAAAGTTCTATCCTGGAGAAGGGAGCGTGACCAAAATGTCAACAGAATGTGACGAGCAGTGCGTGTTCCCGCGCCCTGATGGAAAATATCCCCCGGAAGACTGTGTACTTTTGGATATCAGCGATCCGAAGGGCTCCCCTCCATACTACGCTCTTCGTCGGGCACTGGTAAATCGCTCTCTCTCTCTCTCACTCTCTCTCTAGCTCTCTCGCTCTCTCACTCTCTCTCACTCTCTCTCTTCTCGATAACTTTCGGAATTTCAGTCGGGACCGTACGCCTCGTTGAAGAGCGAGGAAGAGACGATCGACCTCTGGCAGAGTCTAAAAGTTCCTGAAACCCCTGCCGAGCAGGTTCTACTTTTCCTGAAGCTGGAGACCATTGTTTATAGACATCCGTCGACAAGGAGAAGGCAGAAGCACAACACGCAGATCGTGTCAAACGTCAGAGCTCCACACTTCCAGCCGTCTCCTACCCGCGCTGCATCAAGACCGACGGACTGCCGGTATGCGATTGCCTTTACTTCTGAGATTGCGTTATCTTTCAAGCATTTTTGTCCAAAAAGTTTTGTTGTTCGACAATGTTATAGCCAGATAATGCACTTTACATAGTTTTTAGACATAAAAAGAATGGTAAAAATAAAAAATGGCCAAAAAGAAGGCAAAATTTTCGGATTTTTAGAAGTTTTTTTAGAACATCGGTTATGAGTTTCCGGCACTCACCGTACACACATTGAAAATCCGGTATCCGAATCGAAGCAAAAATATCGTTATCGAAATCCGTACATATAGGTCGAAAACAAAAATGTTCCCCCTGCTAACAGTCCAGAACCAAAACCTCACACCCCCCTCCCCCCGCTAATGGACCAGTCCCCTTTTCCAGGCCGATCAGAAGGCCATCGTAGAAGCCGACGAACTGCTCGATTGCGACAGGAACCCCTTCTACAAGGAGCTGGGCCACGAATCGCTGACCGTCACCAAGTTGCCCCTTTGCACCGAGGTCGATCCGAATCAGGTATCCGGCCATTTTCACAGAAAAATACTGCTTCTCATTTTTGAGAAATTCTGCCGAACCTCCGCGGACAGCCAGTCAACAAAACCCACCGCAACAACCCCGGCTGCAGAAGGGTTTCTCGACCGGCTTACTGTTCCGGAACCCTGGGACTTGGTCAGCTTCGTCCTCGCCTGCATCGGCAACACGTTGATGGTCATCGCAATAGCCCTCGCCTGGTATATTCGATTCGGACGGCCGGAAAAGGACGACGATGATGATGATGATGAGGAGATGGATTCGCATTCTCGCAAGCACGACTCGTCCAAGTACGCCCTTTTTCTCCTCCTCTCCTCCCTATAACTTTTTTGTCAAATGACCACTCGACTAAAATTGAAAGTTTTTTTGTAAGCCTCAAGCAATTTTCTAGGGCCAAAAAACTTTTATTGAAGCGTTGAAAAAGATTGTGGGGTCTCCGCTTTTGATCAAAATCGGGTTCTGGACTGTTAGCGGGGGGGGGGACGAAATCTTCCCTAGTAATTCCTTACAGACAACAAATAACAGCGTAACATTAACTATTTTTGTTCGAATTTTACATAGTTATTAGATAAAAAACATTAGAAAATTGATAAAAATTTTCGAAAATTTCTGGCTTTTTTGTTAAAAATGTTTGAAAATGCCCATAAAAGTTTACAAAATTTCGACTTTGTTGTGTTCTATTTTTTTCAAAATGTGTTTAGCATTTTCTAGCAATTTCAAACTACTAAAAAAACGTAAAAAAAAAACTAATTAGTAGCGCAGTAGGCGAAACTTGTGATGAAAAACCATAAGTTGCACCTCCTCACTTTGAGAACTTTTCTAAAGCTGAATTTTGTAGGAAGAAAACGGGCGACGACGACGACGCGTGAGCATGAGAGGAGAATCGCAACCGCGAGCCGCGCCTCCAGCCCTAACACCAGCCAGAGGCGCGCCGCCCTATTGCATAGAGAAAATCTGCTGGTCATGGTGATTGGCTTCAACGCTTTTGTCAAAGCGAATCTGTGATTTGTACACCGGTGGAATAAAGGGTTTCCGCAAATATTTCTCGATAAAACACATCTACACTGCAATTGTTTTTGACATATTTACAGAGCAAGCACAAATAATTGGTTCATCCTCGGTTTCTGCATGGTTGAAAACGCGTGAATCGATCCCGACCCATTTTAATCATGGCGAAATCTAAGAACAGTCTTTTTGTGCAATAACTTATACTACTGTACCGAGCGGCCTGAAATGTCAGCATTAAGCATTTTAAATACCTTTTTGTATCTCTGCTCAAAATTTTGGTTGTTTTTCCAAAGAAAGGGGTTCTAACAAACCAATTTTTCAAATTTTTGCACCTTTCCTGGAAGCCCGAGAGCAGCTTTTTATACAGCCATTTGAGAAAACACAGCTTCGATGTGGCGCCAGCCGAAAAACTTTGTTTTTGGAGAAAAGGGCCTAACTTTTACATAAAAAACGATTAAAATTGAGCTGAAAACTGAGAATTTGTAAATCCGGCAGAAAATATCTTCTCAGCTCGTCGAGAGCTTTTCTTAAAGTTTTTTTTTTTTTTTTTTTTTTTTTTTTTAAAAACACCCCTGTTTTTTAAAAAAAAAAATTTTTAAAAAAATTTTTTTTTTTTATTTCTTTTATATTTTTTTTTAAAAAAAAAATTTTTTAAAATATAAAAAAAAATTCCTGCAACCCAACCACCAAACCCAAACCAACCCCACAAACAAAACCAAACCCCAACCAAAAACCTCTTTAATTCTATAAAAATCACATCTAAAAATTTTTTAAATTTTAAAAAATTTTCCTAATTTTATTTTTTTTTTTTTTTTTTTTTTTTTTTTTTTTTTTAATTAATTATAATTATCTATTTAAAAAAAAAAAAAAAAAAAAAAAAAAAAAAAAAAAAAAAAACAAAAAAAAAAAAAAAAAAAAAAAAAAAAAAAAAAAAAAAAAAAAAAAAAAAAATCCAATCTGAGAGAGTGGAAGGAAAAAAATGAATTTACCACAAAAAAAAAAAACAAAAAATTAAAAAAAAAAAAAAAATATTTTTTTTTTTTTTTTTTTAAAATATTTTTTTTTAAAAATAAAACTTTAAAAATTTTTAAAAAAAACCCTTTTTTTAAAATTTTTTTTTTATCCAAAAACACAACTCCTTTAAAAAAATCAAAAAAAACAAAAAAAAAACCTTGATAAATACCTAAATCATAAAAATCCGGTACGACTGCGGACCTCTAGACCCTGGTTCCCTGCCAACTAGCGTACCATTGGTTTACACCATGGCCGAAGAGATGACCCCTAGGGTACGACACCATTCGCTTACTCTGCACTCTAGCCCGGGGCCAAGCCTAGCCACTCCCCCCTGCATACCCTGCCGCACCATTTCGGTCTTTAGCATCTGTACTCACAATGACTATTCAACTTTCTAAAGCGCTATTTTCTATTGTTTCATAATTAATAATAAGATGTCTCAACATAGAAAATCTTAAAAAACATTTTGGACCAATCCCGGTTTCGGAAATCGTATGGCATCCTTGCTAGTAATCCGGAAGATTTTATTTGAGTACAACTTTAATGGTTCTCTCTCTATCTCTCTCTCGTTCTTTCTCTCTCGCTCTCTCTCTAGCTCGCTATCTCTCTCTTTCATTATCTTTCTCTCCCTCTCACTCGCTCTCTGTATCTCGCTATGCCTCTCTCACTCTGGCTCTCGCGCTCTTTCTATCTTTCTACCTCCCGCTTTCTTTCGCTCCATCTTGCTCGCTCTCTGTATCGCTTCTCTCTCTGGCTGCTCTTTCTATCTTTCCCTCCCTTCTTTCCTGCTCGTTCTCGCTCTCTCGCATTTACACAGCATTTTAGCGCGTAGATCCCTATCCGAACGAGACGATGGTTGCTGTGTTCAAGCGAAAGAAAGTACACCCTCCGCGGAATCGTCTGAGAACACGTATTGATCCTGGTCCATGAAATTCAAACAGATTTTTAGCGGCTCCTCAACCTCCGCGGCTATTGCCACAGCAATCCAATGCCAGAGTTCACCGTCAGTTTCCGGTAAAAATTTCTATTTTCGTCATTACCTGCGCAGATAAACCCAATCCTTGTCGAGTTAAACCATTCATTCAGGCTCAACGGGCAGGGGATCCTGATTTGGCCGGCTTCTTGCTCTTTGTGACGGGTGCCGTTACCTTGTGCTGGGGGATGACTGCTGCTGTCTTATGGGCGAATCTTGGACCGCCATTGCCCACCCGATATTCGACAGGTAATTCATATCTACAGGGTGTCCCAATAAAAAGTACCCCGGCTAACTCGGCGCAAAAGTATCGGGTTGGAACAATGGTTACACCATACGAAAGCCCTTGAAAATGCGAGAAAACAAACGGGTTTTGTTTTCTTAATTTTTTAATATTTTCTTGCAATAAATTTCTTCAATTTCTGCAAGCAAAATGTCCGGATGTAGCCGTTAATTAGGTGCGCAGGCCGCCCCTTAATCGTTTTAAAATTGCACGATTATATGAAAACATGGTTGCAGACTCGCCGTTTCAAGGACTTTCGAATGGCTATGATTCCGAGCCTGCCTTTCCCTGTATACCCTGTTACCTAGATACCCTAGGTATTTATGGCACCTCAAAATACTGTAAACTAAAAAAATTTCGCCAACAACAAAAATAACTTTTGAATACGAGGTCAAAAAGCGAATGACAGTCGTTTGTCCTGAAATTTTCCCTTCTGCTAGCTGAATCCGAAAACTAAACGTTTTCCCTTTTCAGCGACCCTCGACGACCAAGCAAAGGCTCTCCGCGTCGGCCGGGTCGTTTTCAGCACGCTGGTAATTCCGTCGGTGCCGGGTTTTGTCGCCGGTCTCGTCCGTGGGACCAATACCCGAAAAAAGGCTCTAGCGACTTTTGTCGTTCTCCAACTCTGCGCCATCCTCTTCGTCACCGGCGTGCTGGTCATCCAGTTGAAAGCTGATATTTCACCTTACAAGGCCGACTTTTGCGAGGATACAATGGAGAGATTGGGGCGTGCAAGCGAGTCGGTAGTTGAGTTCTTTTCGAATTTGGTCGAAAATGTGACCAACGCCGCGCATTACATTGACGAGTGCTCGATGGGGAATTTCCTACCGAGTTCTGTGAACGAATCGCTGATTTTCCGGAATCCAAAACAACACCGACTGCTGGTGGATTATTGCGCGTGGGCCACAGAAAAGAAACCCCATTTCTTGAGTAATATCGGCAACAATTTGCAGTATTTCCTGCCTTTTTCAATCACTTGTGTTTTTCTGTATTTATTCTGATGTAAATAAATTGTATATATATATATATAACAATACACGCTAATTTTTCTACGCAAAGGCCATTCAATAAACCGCGGCTGTTGCGGCTACTCGCTTAACATTTTTAGACTCGCTTTTGGCCGACAAGTGACAGCACGACAGCCTTTACTGTTAGCATGACGGGTTTACCAATTACGCCACATAATTAGGCAAGGCCAAAAACCAAATATGGATTACTGTTGCTTGTCAAGACCGTAAAGTTTCGGAATTTTGGGCGAGAGCCATAGGTTTTTTCGCTGGCCTCGTTATTTTGTAGAAATTCTGGGGCATTTTTCCGAACCCTAAATGTAAGAGAAAAGTGCAAGCGGAATGGGATGATTTTTGCACCATTGCAAAGTTCTCAACGGTGAGAAAACCACTGGCTTTTGTTTTCCAAAAAAAAATTGTCTCGGGCGATATTGTGTGAACGGTCCTCAGTCTGAACGGTTCTAAACCAGCGTATTGCAGGCTGAAAGCCAGCAATTAACGTGCAGCACCCTCAAAAATACTCTGTTTTCATGACTTCGATCGCAAATTCAAAAAATGAAACGCCTGTTTTCCCGCTTTAACGAGAGCATTCGATAGATACCTCAATCATCAAGATCGGGCACTTCCCCGGTCGGCTAGAGGTGCACTTGTTGGGTAGCAGGTAGCCACAAAAACAGTAGTCTCGGTCTCGACATGGTCAAGATCGAGCATCGCATTCTGAAAGCATTGTAGGGTTGAAGCAAAATTTCAGCGGGGATTTTTAGGTTTCGCGTGTGTCGCGGAACCGTCGATACATAGACGCGAGAAGAGGCCGTTAGTGTTACCTGTACCTTTTAAAAAAACTGGCACACATCTTGGATTGCAAGAATCAGGGGCAAGGGCGGGACAACGCATGAAAAATTAAACTAGTCATACCGAAGTGGTCGGCGCCTGAGAATGTGCCTTCCATCAAAATCCTGGCCCTTCTTCCAAAATTTCCAAATCCCTTAAATCCCTCACAACCTTTGCGTGCCCTCGGCTAAATTCATATAGGGCAGGAGGGCAACTCCCGCCCGAATCCTATCCCGCGATGATGGAGGGATGGAGGCTCTCAGAATTCCCTTTTACTCCCCTCTACCCACCATCAATGGCATCGATTCTCAATGTTTCTGTCTCTCGCGCTCTCTCTTTCTCTCTCTTTTTCTCTTCCTCTCTCCTTTTACTTGAGTCTGGGTGAAGTGGGTTGCCCGGCCACACACACGGCCGATTTTTAATTAATCTGGTCTGGGGAGAGGAAGGGGAAGGAGGGCCCATGGCAGGGCCACACCACCGTCTAATTGGCCCTAGTAAGGGCTAGGAAACGAGAGAGAGAGAGAGAGAGAGAGAGAGGGGGGGGGGGGGGGGGGAGAAGAGAGAGAAGCCGCCTGGCAGACTGCCAATTAGGGTGAAGCCTGCTCAGGCAGTCGGCGCGTCAGAATAATTCCTGGGTTTGGATCAGCCACAGGCTTACAGGGTGTCCCAAAAAAACGAACCTCTGGCTCGCCGTGTTAATCAATCAACCCCAAATTTGGACGAAAGGTGTATCATACTCTAAATAACACCAATCCTGAGTTATAGCTCTGTAGCTAACGTAGTTCTCGAGTTCTGGCAAAAATAAACTTTATTTTCCATTTTTCATAGGGTTTCCGTGGATTTGACCCCAAACATTAAGTGAGTTGATCCGGTGGGCCTTTTACCTTAAAATTTTTTTTTACGGTTAAAATTATCAAATCAGCTCCGATTTAGTGATTTTTACAACCCAAATTCCCCAAATCTTAAGCGAATTGGGTTCGTGCCGGATCGTCTCGTGCATCCAAAAACATGCCGAAAACCGTTCAGATTCTGGGAAACAGTATTTTAGTTTAACTCGAGAACGACTGTGCTACGGGCTATAGTCAGGTTGTTGTTATTTGGGTCTGATACACCTCTGGTCCAATTTTGGGCCGTTGGTGTAACGGCGAATGCCAGTGGTTCGTTTTTTTGGGACCCCTGTATGCGGCTTCAACTTCGAATCAAAGTCAGGGTTAGCCTATGACTTAAGCTAAGTTGGGGTTTAGACTGTCATTAATGCGCCTGTTTACCCCCTCGCATCCTGCTGAATTTGATCCTTAGCAAAATTCCAACGAGGATTTTTGGCATCCCTAGACCTTCTCGACACTGATCTTCAGGAGCTTCAGTGAGGGAGAAAAAGAGAGAGAGAGGAAAAGTGAGTGAGAGAGCGGAGGGGAGAGAGAGAGAGAGAGAGAGAGAGAGAGGAGAGACGCAGAAGCTCCCTAGACTGGCTGGCTGGCCGGCTGCCATTTAGAATTCTGGTGGGACGGCTGGAGGGCTAGAGAAAGAGAGGAAGAGAGCGAGAGAGAGAGAGAGAGAGAGAGAGAGAGAGAGAGAGGGAGGGAGGGAGGGGGAGGGAGAGGCAAAAATCGTCAGCAAATCCGCAAAAGGGCAGGCTAGGGGAGCTAGAATGAGAGAACAGGGGCCAGGAAGAGGGTGAGAGAAAGCTGATAGAGAGAGAGCGAGAGAGAGAGAGAACGCCCGTAAAAGGCCAGTCTAGCGGCCCGCGCACCCGAAATAGTGGGGCCATCTAAGAGGGTGCAGATCAGGGAGGGCCCCTGGTGGGCCCTCACCCGGGCAACGAGGCCCCAGCCCGCCCACAGTCGATATCCCCTCCCCTCGGTCCCCCTCACCCTCCAGGGCCCCGCGACAAGGGCCACCCTCCCAAGAAGTGTACTAGTAAGAAGCCGCGCATTCGCTAAGATTCTAGAAAGCAGTGGGTGATGTCTGGGAGGTAAGTGAGCACTAGGTATCTTTACTGGGAAGAATCTAGTATGGTGCGTTGTTTGGAGGTTAGCGTAGCTTTTCGTACTGTTTGAACCGCACGTCTGTAGCCGAAATAATTGTAGTCTCCGACCACAAACCGAAAACCTTGACGTTTAGACCGGATTTTGGCAAATTTTCGGGTTGGAAAATAGCATTTTCAATACCTACCAAAAAGGAATCATTTTTATTTTTAAAGTTATGATTTGGCTATCAACTAGGTTTATAACGCCTAAAATTAACCTGAACACGGCATTTATTAGTTCCAGAAATTCGTTGGAAGGGTTTGAAAATCAAAACGTTTTTCGAAGCGAGAATTTTGTCGATCTGAATAAAATTGAGACATCGTAAAGTATCGCACAAAACCTCCAAGCCGTCGAAATCAATTTTCCACCGATCAATTTTTTAGCCAAGAATCATACACATTCCCATATTTCCCGACCCGATATATTCCAGACCACACCTGCCAACAGCACCGGCAACCTCGGTTACTTTTAGCACCCAGAAAATATCAGCGTTCTATCGTAAAAATCGTACTCGCTATGAGCTGGAATTTACTGAATTGCACTTTTTCGCTGTAAACTTACCTTTAAAAGCCTTTTTTTGTGCTCCCCCCGCCCACCACTCCCAACCCCAAGGCAAAAATGTGAAGAGTTCGGTCACGCGAACTTCAACCGGCTAAAGCGTGTTAAGGCACGCGTACCGATCTCTTTACAAAAAGCCTGAACGATACAGCTCGACAGCTATGCAGTATTTTTTGAGAGATCAACAAGAGAATGTTTGTTTTTGATTTTTTTTTTGGTGCAACGCAAGCTACTAATTAGGATCAAGTTTTCCAAATTTTTTTTGAGCGAATGCGGCAAGAATACGCTTACTTAAACGATTTATACAGAGGCACGGCCTCTCTGGTTTCAGCGAGATGAAAGATTCTGATCCGGAAGTCGATGCCAGGCCGTGCAAAGCCCAACACCGCAAAAATTTTTGGTCATTTTAGATTTTTGGCCTGGTGGTTTCATAGCTCCCTCTTGAGGGCTGGAGAGCTGGTTCTTATTCAATTACCAGCTGCAAGCGGCTGGACTTCGGGCTATCCCCCTGCGCTTTCTCCCCCTCGCCGAAACGCGCGCGATCTGGCCCACTATGCCCAAAATCGTGCAAATAACCGTTTTTAGCACCAAATTGCAAATTTCGATTTTTTTAATATGGAAATGAGGTTTTCGGATTATGTTGCTGATCAGTTTGCGGGTTTCTGCCCCGCGCTCTAACTGAATCTGAAGTGACCTAAGCTCCAGCTCCTTTCCCCCTCGAGTTGAATCCGGCTTCACACGGACAGCAGAATTATTATAGTGGATGGCTATTTATTACGATGGCTTGCACTGGAAAATGCTTTATTGCTGCATTACAACCAAAATGGCCTCACACACACAATGTGAAATACAGGAGTATGGTGGCATAATTTGGATTGTCGTTTGTTCAACGGGGGCAGGCCATCACGCTTCGGCAGATCTGCAATTGTAGAAAGTTTTAGTATTGCGACGACTTGAGCATGCTTACCTGTACTTCATATTAAACAATCATTTTCCGCCGGTAAGTCTGGTTAGCCACACTACAGCGACAGCGCCACAAAGATCAGCGGGGCAAAAAGCTAGAAATTGTGAATGATGTAAATCACCATAACCACCCCCACCAAATTCTGTTTTCCTGAGCTGGATGCGAGCTGTTGAGCCGGTGCTGTTGCACGGCTCGCAGTGACACACGAAGGCTCACAATTCGGACACTAAACACTCTTCGTGTCCGATTTTTACGATTTAAGTATCTATCAAAGGCTCTCGACGAGCTGAAGAGACGTTTGGATTTTCGAAATTCCGCAATTTTCGCTCGACTGTCGGCACTTTTGATGCAAAAGAGAAGCTTTTTTTGCAAAATCTCAAACGGGAGCTGAGCTGTGTCTTCCGAAATGGCATTCAAAAAGCGCGCTTTCCCGACAAGGCGGAAAATTTATAAATGTTGATTTTTGTAAGACACTTTCACGAACGTTTTTTTTTGTTTTTAATTTTGTTACAGGACTATGTCAAAAAAATTTGTGGAAATCTTAATAAATGTATGAAAAATGCCGGAATTTCGAAAATTGGTAGACTCTTGGAATCTCGACTGACAAGATCTCGACTAACAGAATCTCGTCTAACAGTATCTCGACTGACAGAATCTCGAACGGTCGTGTTGCCTTAAACCTCAATCGAGCCCACCGCGAAAAACGTTTTCAATCGCAGATATACGTAATGGAATTTTTTTAAACATTTTTTGTGTGGGGAAACCCCCAGAATGACAATTTTTGCGAGTTAGACCCCAGCGAAACATTTTTTCCGCACCTTGTAGCAGCGACCGACCACTTTAAACGGTCGAGATTCTGTTAGTCGAGATTCTAATTAGTCTGGATTCTGATCAGTCGAGATTCTGTTAGTCGCGATTTTGTCAGTCGAGATTCTGATCGGAAAGCCGAAAATTGGTGAGAACATAGCCGGCGTAATCATCGGAACTTAATTATCGTCGAAAGCTTTCGATAGGTACCTAAGTCGCAAAAATCGGATCCCAACCGATTCGCTCACCTCGCATTTGTGGGCGCATACAATACCATTGAGGCCAGGAGGACAAATGACGGAGAGATTCATAGTGCTGTAACGGGAAAAATTGGACATTGGATATTCTCATGTGAGCAAAAAGACGGTTCTTAACTGCTAGCGGGGGGACCCAATTTTCCCTATGTTTCTTTACGGCCTATAGCCAAATAGGAACGTTTTTAAAAGTATTTTACATAGTATTTAAATACAAAAACTGTATACAAAATTAATAAAGATTTTCAGAAAATTTTTGCCTTTTTGGTCAAAGGTGTATGAAAAATGACCAAAAAGGTCAGAATTCCGATTTTCAAAATTTTTAGACGTAGTTTTTATAACGTTCTATCAATCGAAAATTACTAAGAACACTATAAAATACATAATATATTATCAACAGGGGTATAGGTGGAAACAGAGAAAGTGGTTTCCCCCGGCAGCCCGCCCCTTCCCCCCTCCCGCTAACAGTCCATAACCATCCACCCTTTACACGTTTAAGGAAAAAACTCGCATCATGGAATAACGAGACGTGCAATCGGTTGTGAACGCTTCAGGAGCGGGGTCCTTTGGATCGAAACCCCATTGGAGAAATCCACATCTAACGTCGCGTTCACCTTTATTGATGAAGACCTCGACAGTGACGCTCACGAAGGAGACATGCCCCTGAAATTACGTAATACCAAGTAACACGTAAGAACATTAAATACCGCTCCGTCACTAGTATGAAGCTGTAACTCAACTCTCTAGGTTCTGGACTGTTAGCGGGGGGGGGGATTTTGAGCGGAGGGGAAACCATTTTTGGTTTTCCACCTATACACGGCTTTTTGCTGCTAAATTATGTGTTTTAATGGTGTTTTTAATAGTTTTTGATCACTAGAAAGTTAAAACAAAAATTTGAAATTTTGTAAATTCGAAAATCTCGACCTTTTGGCCATTTTTCAGATTTTTGACCAAACAGTCAAATGTTCGAAAATTTTTACTTTTTTATTGTTCTTGTACATAGAAACTATGTAAAATGCCATTAAACAATTATATTTTGTTATGGGGTCGAACAGAATCATAGGGAAAAATAAGCCCCCCCCCGCTAGCAGTCCAGAATAACCCGGTTTATATCTATCATATGATACCTGCGGGTATTCCTATAAACAGACTTTTCCGTTGATCGGGGTATTATCGTTGAAAGATACCAGCTGAAATCGCTGAACTTCCTTTTCGCCGAAAGACGCCGTATCCCCAACAAATTTGCCATCCTTGTACGTGGTCAATAGGACGTGCTCGAGGACATGGTCTCGATTGGGGTGGGCGGCAGTCACTAAACGGTCACATTGTAGTTTCGACAAGGTTCGAGTTTACCCCTGCCATCACCCCCCCCCTCACCCCGGGTTTGTGTCTCGTAGCTAGGCCCGTAGGAGGGGGCCATGGGGCCCTGGGCCCTCCCGAAATCGGTCGAGCTCCGAAAAGTTCATAAAGGGAAACCCTTATCATTTTTTATAAAAATTTGTCTACCTGCGGCGCTGTTTTATCACTGTTTTTAGGCAGCTTTACTTCGATAAAGCCTATTCTCCAACATTTTTCGCCTGCGGCGCTGTTTTTCATTGCTGCATCAATTGACTATAAAATTTCTCGCCTGCGACGCCTTTTTTATGGTGTTTTCCCACCAATTTGATCATAACGACCACTCTTTGATAAATTTTTTGTCGTGCTGTGTTGGCCGCGATTTTGGGGAGTTTGAAAAGACTTGACGACGGGGGAGGTCGCCAAAATTTTTGGGTCCCGCCCCCCCGAAATTCCGCCTCCGCTACGGGCCTGCTCGTAGCCCTTTGTCCTAGAGGGATGCGGACGGAATAAGTGTCGAAGAAACTTGGGGCTGAGAAGGTTGAAATCCCGACGAGGGGAGGGGGTAAACTAGAGACTCGCTGGAGTATCTTGCGCTTCCTGTACTCCTAGAGGAATAAACAACCTACTGCCGATGGAGATCCGACTCGGGTTCGGAAATTCGTCTTCAACGGCGAAGCCCGTCATCTTGACGGCAAGCGGCGGCTAAATTTAGATGTATCCCACGAAAAATGCCACCCACCACGGTGCTGTGAACGGCAGCGAAGACGAGGATGGCCAACAGACAAATCATGGTAGGTCACGGTGGTTGAAGAGAGCCGCCGATAAAACTGCACAACAATCTCCAGCGCATTGCGAAATTAATATGCTAATTTATTTTCAAATTCAAAGTAGTATCCAGGCTGGATTCAAGAATCAACGCCAAAAATCTGCTTGTCTGTGTATTTCATTGTTCGTTCGACGGGATATGTTTATTATATTCATGGCGTAATCGGATGCTTTTCCTTGATGGGCTTCTCGTCCTCATCCTCTACCCAATATCGTTTCTCATCCGAAGCCGAAGCCAGGAGAAGCGCGAGTCCGATCAGGAGGGCCACACCAAAGCCGAAGGACACCACCTAAAAAGAGGATTAAACTCGGCAAAGTCGAGAAAATGGACATGATATTGCGCCAGTGCTCCATCGGATGCAACCAGCGATTTCAGCACTGGGGAGAGGATTAGGGAGAGTGTTTTGAAGACCTGTAGCGTTCCCACGACGAAATAGGAGTATTGCCTGAAATTTATCAAGCTTACATTCATTTTCAGTACCTACTTGTGTCAAGATTTGCACAATGAGCTCACCTGTACATCAATAAACAAGCCTTGTAGAACCCGCCAACATTAGTGCCCGTCAGACAGACAAATATTAACAGCATTACGTAGGCGGTGTAGTGTGTGGTTAGCGGTATCATAAACGAGGCCAAGGCTGGCCCCAAGAAGCAGAAGAAGGCCGAGACGCGAACGCGAACGAGTTGCGAGACGCATCTTAATGATTTTAATAAAAGTCGCCGCGTTAATCAACTCACTAGGGTGCCTATTCTCGATAGCAACGAATAGCGCCAAAAGACACTAGCTTTTAACTTTTACACCACAACCCCCATTACAAATAACTTTTAACGCTTCAGAACCCAAAAATCAGGATTTTTAAAATCATTGTTTTGATTTTATTCTTTTGTACAGGCGCCTTGAAAAGTGTGGTCGACTTCTGAAAATCATCGTTTGGAAGTCAGACTTCAAATAAGTCCAGAAGTTTAGTATAAGGCACAAAAGAAAAGAAACCTACCGTGCATGGTCGCTCAGGAATCCGGTGATGAATTTGGCGGCCAGAAACGACACGCCAAGGGACATGACGAGCGTTGCGCGCTGCTTCAAATCGAACCCAAGTTTCTCGAAGAAATCCGGGCTGGAAAATTCACAAAATTTAGTCCAGGATACGGAAATTACGCGTAAAGCATCCAGAAAAACGCGGTAAACGTGTCGATGAACGCGGCTGCCCACAATCCCCACATCCGCCAGTCGTTGAACGCTTTCTGAAAAAATTTGCAATGAGTTTTGGCCACAAATATTTTATTTTACTTTATTTTGTGCTGAAACTAAAACGTTTTTTTATTTTTTCACGCTTTATTTAATCCCGATCCAGAAAAAATGTCTAAATGGCGAAAAAAATTCGAAATCACGTCGAAATCTCACTTTTCTGTTACGTTGCGTGTTTTCAGCTGAAATCAAAACGCATAGCATATTTCTTGAGGCTCTGTCGAATGACGTCAAAAATCCAGAAAAATCCGACAAAATTACCCTAATCGGAACGGCCATCTTGCCTTCGACGTGGCTCAAACTCTTCCCCTCATTTATCCGCAGAATCTCGTCTTCGGAAATCCACGGTGAGTCGATCGGCATATCACGATACACTATCACCCAGATTATTGAAAACTAAATGTAAAATTCAATTTTTTATTAGTGATTCCTGACTACCGTAAATGCAAGTATAGCCATCACGTAGATATTCCACGCCCAGTCGCTTTTGGCCATCTACAAAATGAAAGCATTTGCTTGAGATTGACAATGGAAAATTCATAAAAAGCATCAAAACCTTACAAAATAATTTATAGGCTGCTGGACGACGTCGCGGAGGGCGATGAAACCCGAGAGGATTGCTAGACTCATACCGAGGCCTGAACATTTTTCTCAAGCTTGTTTCGAAAGTTTTGAGGATTACCTGACATTGACGACCATTGCGATGCCACATAGCCGATCACGCCAAAATCGGCGGCAAATGTAATTCCCTAAAAGCCTTTGCTAGTTTGCATGATAAAAAAATTATCTAGAGCCCGCTTTATCCTCTCAAAGAATCTCTGCTAGCCAGTCTATCTGTTGGGCAACACGACGCGCCCCAATTCTGTTTCATATTTTAAAATATCAGTTATGTTTGTAGCCCACCTGAATAAAACGTAGCACCGCGGATACAAAATAATTGGTCTCTAAGAAAGAGGGGAGCAGAGCCGTCACAACGGAACATGTTATTCCTGGAATATTTTGACTTTTTGACCGAAGGGAGCGAGTGAGAGAGAGAGAGAGAAAGTGAGAGAGAGGGGGAGAGAGGGGGAGAGAGAACGCGAGAAAACAATACCTGAAATAAAGAGCACATATCTGGCACCGAATCTCTGATACAACATTGCGAACGGCACGATCCCAAACAGAGATCCGAGGCCCATCCACGAGATTAGCCATTCAACATCGTTTGGATCGTCGTAGATCGAACCCTCGATGACCTGAATTTTGTAATGAGATGATTAGCATGAGAGCATGGCGACAAGCTCTCTCTCTCTCTCTGTCTGTCCGTCTGTCTGTCTGTCCCTCTTATTCATATCTCTGTTTCATTGTAAGGGTGGCCAATCTGTCGATACCTAGTTTCTCCCTTCTCAGGCACTTTAAACCCAAAATCCTCATCGCAATACGTACTTGACCATTCCTTGGGAAAGATGGAATATTGAGGCGCACAGAATTGAACACATCCGCGCAGTTATTGATCGATCCGGTCAGCAAAAAAGTGATACCAAGCGTCACCGCGCGCATCCGCCAATGTGCGACATTGCAGCATGGCATTTGACCCTAAAAACGGGGAAATAATAAATTAAACTTCGCAAAAATTAGTTAATTTTAAGAAATACGAAAAAAGAGCATCAAATAATATAAGTCACAGTAGTCAGTTTTGGTTTCTAAATTATCTTAACTAATTTCTGATTCAATAGACCCGTTCAAAAATGAACACGTTTCTAAAGGACGGTATAGCTTACAAACCGCTTTCTAAAGTTGGACAAAGAGTTTATTACCGATGTTTTCGTATAAGTCTAGTTTTCAGAAAAAACTTTGCCCCGCTAAATAGCAGATTAGGTTTTCTGAAAAGTGCGCAAACAGCCGGTCGCAGCATTGCAATTTTCGGATCTCACCAAAATTAGGTAGTACAGAATTGTGGGCTTTTCCGGAGGGCAATTCGTGGCTTCCCGATTTTTCTAACGTCACTCTCTCTTCCTCTCTCTATCTCACTCGCTTTCTTTCCCTTGTTTGAATTCCAGTTGACCAACAACAAAAAAACAGCCGACGACGACTTTGATTTAAAACAACTTCGCGAGCATTCGCCTTCATAAACCGTCAAAGGTGGCGCGTTACAGTAATCTTGCAATGACAGCAAGCACGAAATTCGGAACAAAATAGAGATTATTAAATAAGAAAATAAAGGGCATAGTCCACCCCAAAAATAACCAAAGCCGCTGCCAAAAGCCCGGATTTTATGAAATTCGGAATTTTACTGTAAAAGTCTGAAACCATTATTTCCCTTGGGCTTCTGGGCAATAGTTGGGTCACCGGTTGAACTTATTGTTTTTGGTGGTCATCTGGGCGGGCTGAACAGATGAGATCGGGAATTAGAACGGAGCACGATGGGACAATAACCGTATTTTGGCTCTATAGGAAGTAATTTCATGTCGTAGCACATTAACAGGTAATATCATAACTGGCCTAACCGCAAGAGAGAGAGAGAGAGAACGACAGACAAATCGATAGATATAGAGCGAGATCGAGAGGTGAGTGCGGGTGAGTGAGGGAGAGTGAGGGAGAGTGAGTGAGCTAGACAGAGAGAGAATGATTGGTGAGAAATTGAGAGACAACAGGTGAAAAATACATGTTTAAGAAAGCAAGTCAGCGCAGAGAAAAGAAGAGGAGAGAATGAGAGTTAGAGATAGACAGAGAGAGCGAGAGAGCGAGAGAGAGAGAGAGAGAGAGAGAGAGAGAGAGAGAAGAGAGACAGGCAGAGTGAGAAAATAGACCGCCACCCTGTCCCCTTTGCAAAATTTCTGCCCGAGATCAAATAAGTCCAGTGGAGGGCAGCCAGCCCCATGTCTATTTCTAGCCACCACATATTAAAGATTCGGGATTTGTGCATTGGCCTTCTTTTGCGGGAATGAGCGTTTGGCCCCGGATACTTACAATTAGTGATTCCCAGCAAAATTGGATGCGAGAAGAGACCGGAAGGCGCGGACCAAAAAGTGCGGATAAATGAGTAATCTAATGGGCGGGTGTTTGAAAATTGCAGTTATCGGGAGAGTATAAAGATCGGAATTCGTGAAAAAGCTTTGGGTATAGAATGTGCAATAACGGTGAGCTACCTTCAAAGAATCCTCACGGCTTGGCTTACTTAGAAGTCGTTTGCTACAAAAAACGCAAAAACCTTAAATAAAAATGTTTAAATTGAAAAATCAGTGACCGCTGCTTACAATTAGCTGCCGAAAGTTAGTTTTCAGGGGTTTCCGAAATACTCTCTGCTAGCTGGCCGAAATTGCACCAGAATAGATCAAAAAATTTTAGGGTTCTGAGTGTTTTCCCTAAAAATTCCTGTCAGGCTGCCTGACGCTACCTGTATAGACCAACTCTGCTCAGGAATTAAGGCGTTTGCCCAAAGAATCTCTGCTAGCTTGCCCGAAGCTGATCAGGACAGAGCAAAATTCCTAGGTTTGAAAGTGCTTTCTCAAGGAATCTACGCAAGCTTGCCGAAAATCAATCAGAAGTTTAACGCATCGTTCAAGGCGTTTTCCTAAATAATCTCTGCTAGCCTGCCAAAGACTGTTGAAAACTTTGTCCAGGCTCTAGGTGCTTTCCCCAAGAACCTTTGCTAGCTTGCCCAAAGCTTACCAAAACGGAGCACACTTGTTCACGCTCAAGACGCTTTCTTAAAGAACCCTCTGGCCTTTTTTTCTAAGTGACCGGCCCCCGTGCGCTTTTTTCTAGCGGCGAATAGAAAGAAAAAGTAAAAGTAACCGAATAATTCTTCTAAAGAACCTTGGCTAATCTGTGTCCACGCCCTGGAAAGTTCAAGAAAATCCCAATCCTAGATCCCAATTTTCCAGCGCTTTCAAAAACAGAAAAATTAGGAAAATATTGGAGAAATATAAGAAGCCCATTAAGCGTTCTCGGGAAGATCAACAATTTTCTGCTTTGATCCGTGAAAAATGTAGCACCAAAATGTTGACGAATCGCCCGGTGAAAGTGAGGGGGCCCCTTTGAACCCAGCCGAAAAATTCGTTTTTGAACGCGCTGAAAAAGGTGTGAGAGAACGGAACAAAGCCCCCCAACGGACGGCACACGGCATGGCAAAATCTGGCTTTTGGACATGGGATGAAATGAGGGACGAGAGAGAGACTCGAACCCCAAATAGACACAAAAATTGGAACTACTAGCTTGTTATTTTTGTGTAAAAGATGGCATCTCAGTGCTACTAAACTGCTCAGCGCCTTTTAGCAAAGCAGCTGAAGCACATCGGAACCGCTCACGCCCAGAATTTGCGGCAATAAGGGCCTAAGCAACGCGACGCTCCATTCGTCAAGAAAATGTACGGGGCCAAAACTTCGTAGCCTTATAACTTTAAAATTAAATGGAATTTTAAAAAAAAAAGAGATTTCCAACTTTGTAGAATGGGAAAAAGCGATTCCAATGATACCAAGCACTAAGAAAACTGAATTCAAACAGTATCGAAACGAAGGCGGTTTTGGTTGGCGACTTTGTGAAAAGTTGGATTTCGGAGGGCTAACTTGCTGTCTTTGGTATCATTCGAACCGTAAAATTTTACTCTGCAATAATTGAAATTGGGTTTTCAATATTAAGTCGGTTTGAAAAAGTTATAAGAGCTTAAACTTTTTGGCGCCCGCTCCGCTTCTATCGACGCTTTTGCCCCTCCCGGCACTTTGCCGTTTTTGGCATGTTTGATTGGCCGTGCGCTAGCAACGGTGACTTAACCATACCCTAAAGCTAAGCTTGGTTCAAGCCGTGGTTAAACTAAGCAAAATCAGATCTTAAATATACCAGCGCTGACCCCCCCGCTACGCGGGGGTTCAGCGCTGGACCTCCTCCCCCGCAACTTGAATTTTGAATTTGAATGCAGAATTTGGCTGAATTCGTGTACGGACGGTCGGGCAGACGGACATTAGAAATTTATATATAGTAGATATCAAAATAAAATCATGCCCATTCAGATGCCGTATGTTTTGTCGGCCCATACCAGGCCAAAAGCTAATGCCGATGGTAGGTTACGGCGTTCGGCCTTTGATGCACTACTTTGGCTTTTCAAGGTGCCGGCTGCCCTGACCCGTGACGATGCTTGCCATGGATTCTCGGCCGATGGTAAAGCCTCGCACGAGTTGCGAGTTACCGGGCCTTAAGCAATGAGAGACGATATACAACAACAAATTGAATTCCAAAAATTAAAAAAATCTAAGGAGATCGGAGAGGTTGAACTTGGTGAGCCCCCCTTCCCAAAAATTGGTCACCGCTCCTCTAATGTTTCCTTTTTATTAACCCTCCAAAAAATGTTTGGTCTCGGAGTGAATGGGGGATAAGAAAATTGGTTATTAATTTTGAATCATGAATTTCAATGGAGTGCCTTGGGTCAGGAAGTTGTCTAAACAATGATGTCTTAACCAGAAATTTTTAACATTTATTTATCTTTATTCGTTTCTAATTCATGGTTATAAATCGCCAAGGGATTTTAAGTGCTTTTCAGAACAAAAAAACACACAGATTTTATCTCCAAACTAAAATTTTTCGACTTCCGCAATTTGAGAGTTACGTATCTATCTGTTTTCAAACACTAAAACTAGGTTTGTAAATGGTTTTGAAAAGAATCTATTCTATTCTTCCATATTTGGTAGTCTATAGTCCGGCGTTTCGAATTCTGGTGTAATTTCGAGTTACAATATCTTCAAATTTTTTATTTTGAGAATACAGGAACCCTGGTGAGAACACACATAAAAACACATAGACATTTAAATACCACAATCATAAAATCACACCAATTATTGCCGGGGTGGGGGAAGATATTAAAAAATGGGGTGGTGCTGCTAGGGGGTACCCGAATAGATATATCCCAAAAATGACAAATAACATCATAAAATTGATAAGATTACAAAAATTATAAAAACAAAAAATTTCCAAACTTTTAAAATGGTAATAAGGTTGCAATTTCCCCTAAATTACGGTGGCAGCCAAAAATGGAAAACCGGATTTAAATTTTTTCAAAAACAGAGCAAAATTGACAAATCACATTGATCGGGCAATTTTGTTCAGGGTAAAAATTACAGTAATTTTCGAGTATACTTTCTAAGAAAAAAAAGAGATCAAAAAGTTAAACGGGGGCCGGTCCACCAGGTAAATTACAGAGAAAAACATAGAAATTGGTAAAAAAATCGAATAACCGTATTTTAATTCAGTTTTAAGTAGAAATTTTTGCAGGGAGAACTTTGAATCTTTGAATCGGGGCCTACAGTAGGAGGGGATTGAGCAGAAAAACGGGGGTTTTTGAAACGCAAAATTTTCTTAAAAGGAATAGAACTTTTTTACGAGCACTTTTTGAGCAAACGATTAGAATCAGAGGGAGGAAATTGGATGCTTAGGTCTAGGCTTGGCCCAGGCTTGGGCTTCTACCGAGGCTTAGGCTCAGCTTAGCTTGGATTGCGATAGATTTCAGGTCAGCCGGTCGGGATACGGTATTTGGAGCATCTTTCAGGAGCGGGATTTCAGGAAATTAGCATCCTCCATTATGAGCCAATCTCAGGCAC